AGTCGAGAGTCGTATGATGGTTGACGATTCAAGTGACTATATCTACCACAAACACTGCGAAGGATCGCGATCTCTGCACCCTCTCGATACTGTCAACGTTGGCGGGCAACTAGTGACTAACTCAAAAATCTTATGCACTAAGTATTGCAAAGTATACATGCGTGTATGTGTGTGCGCAGCACACCTACAATACTTCCCCTTTATAAAAAAATTATAAAAAAACTTAAAACTATACAATGAATGTAAACCATAACTTAAAACTAACAACAAAAACTTGCTAATGGGCTTGCAAAAGGGGCGGCTGCCGCGGCGGGTGCGAGCGCGTGCTGCAGACTGGTGCTAGAAGCACCTATCATCTGACCCATATTCTGGCCCGATATTCGAACGCCTGCCATTAACACTTGACGGCGAAGCCAGCTTTTGAACTTCTTACCAAACTTTACCCAATTAGTGTACAGGATTATCGCCCCCATAAAACTGGCTATCACATATAACCATATTTGAAAATTATCCACTTTATTCTCTACAGTATTTTGAGCCTGAGAAACAATAACTGGTTTTTCTTGAAAATTACCCATAGTAAAAATCGTAAAACTTTTCGCACTAATGCTTTCGCAAAGGAAGTATTTCGAATGAAATGAAATTAAATACATTATAACTAAACTAACTACTAACTATGAATCTTAGTGAAACTGCAGTATACGCAAAATACTGAACACAATACCTCTACAATTACATTCAACTTAAATAATGTAACTTGAATATCCTGAATGGAAATATTATGTACCTAACAATGCAAATAATACTTTCACATCCATAGTAACTAAACCTGATTATCATTTAGACATGTAATTGTATTATATATATTTTATATTAACACTAGCTTATAAATCGTGAAGGCGACCACTTCGCGTTGTTTTCACGGTTATCGGGTCGCTCGGGCCGGGTAACGACGACGTCACCGATGTGGGCGGTGGTAACGCGAACCTTACATGCGCAGGTACCACATCCGCTGCGTTGTCAGCGTTACTGTGGCGTGGCGTTGCTTCGTTACCATCACATTCCTTTAATACATATAGTCGATAGTAATATGTACCTGTCTATCGGGTAATTGAATTAGATAAACCTTTGAACCCCTTTTTATCACGCAGTATGGACCGACGTAGGGTGGTTTCAAAGGTTTACGTATTGAATCGTCCCTAATAAAGACATATTCACAGTTACGTAAATCCTTGTGCACTAAAAACTTTGACAGTTACGTGAATCGTCGGATGTAGGCTTATAACTACAAATAGTAGCTCTAATCTTATCCACTAAACAGTAATCATTGACGTTACGGTTGTTCGAAGAGCTGTCATAAAAGTCTCACGGTAGACGTAAGTTTCGTCCGAACGTTAACTCGGCGGCGCTAACCCCTGAGTCGCTGCGGGCGGCTGCGCGAAGCGCAAGTAATACTGTGGGTAGCTCTTTCACCCAGGACCCATGTGACAGGCGAGCTGAAAGTGCTGTTTTAAAAAACGGTGCCAACGTTCAACTGCGCCATTGCTTTGCGGATGATAAGGAGTAGTTCCGGATTCTATTAACCCTCAACATTTTTAACAGCTGTTAACAACAGCTGTTAACTTTAAAAATCAGTTTTTGGTTCTGCCGTAATGCCGCGTAACGGAAAAGCTTCAGGCCACCTGGTCCTCCTATCAATTATCGTGAGTAAGTATCTATAACCATCTGGTGAGATCTCAAGAGGGCCAACGATATCGATGTGCACATGCTCAAAACGATCTACTTCCGAAAACTTAGTCAGATTCGATACCGTATGTCTGTTAACTTTAGAACGCTGACATTGTATGCACGTTTTTGCCCACAAAGAAACATCACGCTTCGTACTAGACCAAAAATACATTTTGGCTAACATCTTTCGCATAAAACGAATTCCAGAATGGCTCAAATTATTTAAACTATCAAAAGCTAGGCGTCGAAACTTTTCCGGTAGGTACGCACGAGCTGTATCAGTAGACATCTCACAAAAAAATAGACTTATTTAACATAGGTATAACTAGTTCCTTTAACAAAATATTATCGGTATTTAAACCAGACATAACATTCGTGATATAACTATCGCTACGCTGTTCATTTGCAATGTCATCGAAATTCAACGCAGTTGGCATAGTCACGGCTTCGATGCATTATAAGTCAGCTACGATGTTATTCATACCGGTTATATGTATGTTTTATATTTGTAGTGAACTCACTTATGAAATCTAAATGTCTCATTCTCCGAGGCGTCTTGCTTTCTTCGCGTCCTACCTTTCGAAATGCAAAAGTTAAATGCTTATGGTCCGTATACACGGTTATTTCTTGCCCTTCAAATAATTTCCGAAAATGTTTTATAGCTAAGTATATAACGAGCAACTCGCGATCGTATGTGCTATATCGCTGTTGCGTGGTGGTCAATTTTTTCGAGAAATAGCCCAATGGTTTCCAGCTATCTCTTTCTTTTTGTTGCAAGACTGCTCCCACGCATGTATTAGATGCATCAATCATTATAGCAAGTGCGGAACCCACTCTAAGGTACGTCAATGTAGCGGCCTGTGTGAGACCTGCCTTACATTGCGTACATGCTTCGTTCGCACTATCCGTCCAGACGATGGGAGTCCTTATCATTTTTCTTTGAGCTTTTAAGATATTTATTTGATTCTGTATAAAGTAGCGTTGGGAAGATGAGCTCGATAAAAATTGACCATACCGAGAAAACGTCTGAGCTCTGCAACAGTTTTCGGCTTCCGAAATTCCACAATTGCCTTAACCTTATCTTGCAACACACTGACGCCATCGGTACTAATCTCGTGTCGCAAAAATTCTAGTTAAGTCGTCTAAATAACAAAAGACAAAATCAAGCCCTTGTAAAATGGAGTTCATAAAACACTGGAAGGTTTGTGCTGCATCAAGTAAACCGAAGGTCATTCGAGGAAACTCGAAAAGGCCGAATGTTGTTATGATAGCGGTTTTCTCTACGTCACCTGAACTTCTATTGATGTCTAATATTGAAAATATGTTTTAATCCGGAAGAATAAAAGTAAAATCATTCAAGCGAGGAATCGGGTATCTGTCGGGCTTTGTTATCGCATTCAGCTGGCGATAGTCCCCACAAGGTATTATATCTCCATTATTTTTAGAAACTAATGCCGAAACATTTAATTCTATGTTCTGATAGTTTTATCTATTAATTTACGCGCGTTTAAATCAACTAATAATTTGTGGTACGCTAAAAATCGGCGCCCAAATTTGGTTGTTTGACACCACAACGAATTCCCAACGATAAGGTCGACGTAAATTTAAGTTTAACACTAGTGTCTTGGTACCGTAAGTTGCGATTTCACTACCATTAGCTGCGTATAATTTATATTCACTACACTGATTTAGACGATCTTTTCTCACGGCTGGTAAAACAAACACATTGGCACCAGTATCGACTAAAAATCTAAGCCCAGAGTTACTGTCTGACACACACAAACGATTGAATGGAAAAATGGTACAGACCTGAAGATCCTCAGACTGTACCTCGCCGCTCAGTTTTCCGGTTGTGTTGGTTTCCACGCGCAAGGCTTCGTACACTTGTTGGCATTTTCTCGGAACCGGTAATGGTAGAAGCATAAGTAGTTCTCCTTCCGGAGCCGGCGGGTACCGCTACGGCGCCTGGACTGTGAACGACACCGATTGCAATCAGGGGCGTGAGACCGCGACCTCTGTTGATCTATCTGGTCCACGGTAGCCTTTATTTTAGCCACATCAGCCCTCAACAGGGCCAAGTCAAGGGCGGCCGTAGATGTTGGCGCTGGCACGGCATAGGTAGCGGTGGCGGCATAGGAAGGCCGCACAGCCTCCATGACGTTATCTGCGTTTGCTGGTAGGTTGTCCAGGTCCTTGGAGTCAGACACAGTGAGCACGGCTCGCACTTGTGTCGGAAGACGACTCTGCCACAGCACGTGAAGAACCACGCGAATATTGCCCACTACTGAATTAACATCACGTCGGTGTCACCAGTTTAGGAGCTGACTCCATAGGGGTGCCTATTGGTGACCATAATAAAAGATGAAATAACTTTTGCTACAATTTATTTTAGCGGAACTTACAATACAGTTGGCGGGCAACTAGTGACTAACTCAAAAATCTTATTCACTAAGTATATAGATACAATATTGCAAAGTATACATGCGTGTATGTGTGTGCGCAGCACACCTACAGTAGTATTTTATAGTATATATTATATTAATCTCGATGTATACTTAAAAAAACTGACAGATACTCAATTTTTAGATGTTGTGAAGTCCCATGGTATCAAATTGACAAATGAAAAAAAAAGAATAATGAATATAAGGTATAAATAAGTAAACAAATAAGATTTTAATGCAATCAATATTCATACACTAGCAGCATTGAAATGGTTATTTTATTTATATTTGATTGAATAAGGTGCACATAAAGGTCTAAAATTAAGAGTATATTGGTGATGATCTAAACTAAAATCCAAAAAAGTATCGGACGTTGTCGTATACCAGAATTCAATTTAATTAGCCTTAGTAACTCTGGTCAATCTAAACGAGAATGTACAATCTTATGCGAAAATATTTGGTCGACAAATTGTCTCCTCAAAGATAATCGTTGGACGTTAAAAATTTTTAGTCGAGAGTCGTATGATGGTTGACGTTCAAGTGACTATATCTACCACAAACACTGCGAAGGACAATCATCTCTGCACTCTCTCGATACTGTCAGAATGTATCCTATAAAAGAGTGACCATACAGTGGAAGCATACTATAGTACAAGACGAACCAAATTATTAAATAACCTAAATGATGCGAGAGGTTTGGAGAAGGTTCTGATACTTTTTTTGCGTTATACTCATAATGTGGAGGGAACGAACATTTTGAATCGAAATATACGCCCATATCCTCAAAAATCTTTTACATATCAGATTCTGAATACTGATATTATATTTAAAATGCAGGTAATTATGTTTAGCAGTGAAGGTGATAACTAAGCACTTACAGATATTTAAGGATATGAGATAGCAGAACATCAATCGTGTACTGCAATGGTTGCAAACACTGAAATTGTAACACCATTGTCTTGTTATTACGATTTCTGTGGTTGCTATGCAATGGTTATGACGGTAGTAGTGTGAGACTATTAGCGCTTTTGATAAAATCATTGGCAATTCATATTCCAAACGTGTCGATTACTTCACTACCTCCTAACGTGGAAGAGGTACGTGTCTAGAAGAACACAGTTCAGTCCAGTCAGGGACAGTTGGAGACGTTAAGTGATTATGTCAACTTCCTTATTAGTTCTCATATCTCTGTCACTTTATACTTAATGTGACGGCGCCTTATTACAAATATAAAAATTTCTCCAAAAATGTCTTTAAAATAATAAAGTTTATATACATTCATTTCGAACACTAAGTATTATAGTAAAGTGTAGGCTTGGTATTGTCTTGTAGAATTTCTAAAGACATTTAGTCTATAAAAAGTTCATTAAATTTATCAAAACTTCGCTTAAAATATTCAAAATGTATTTAAATGTTAGAAATACATCTTGTGATTAATATACAATAATAAAGATTTAGTTTTATATTTAAGTTTTATATTACAAATGAGAAATGGGTCCAAAAATTTCTGATTGAAGGTGATATTGTAATGATGGAGCATGTTCTTGTATTACTGAAGCGTGTTTGATAAGATTTCTTTTACAAGGGATCTATCGGAGACATATATAATATAGTTTGGTTAGGTGGCTGACAACTAAAGTACTATTGCACAATATATAGTCCTAAATTAACCCTTATGTGAGTGACAAATAAAACACATTTAACAGAGTGACGATTACGTGGGTACCTTCATACAGTGTAATACCTGCATACGTAATGTAAACAATCAAGATCTACATTTGTGTTACACATACTTTGTATATTATTACTTTAGCTAAGCTAAACAGTTACAACCTGTGGCGATAAAAGCGGAGGAGAGGTGGAATGCGGTACATGGTTATCAGCGCGCAAGAAACACTGAATCCATTCAGTGCATCGTGCTTGAAATTTGACTGTATACGTTTGTTTCTATTGTACGAGCATATTTGTATTTTGTGAGTTTATAATTATTTCATTATGAATATTGTAGCGAGTATTTCTACCTCAACTAGAGATATTAGCAGAATCTTTTAGTCACGAAGGTGAGTTTGTTGCTTCTGATAATGAACATGATTATATTCCTTTATTTGAAGAGGGTAGATTTGAAATTTTGGATGTTGAGCCAGAAGCTGAAGTCGAAAATGAGATTGATTTTTATGATTCCGATATGAGTTTTGAAGGGGAATCGCTTGAAAATATTCTTATCGCAAAAGATGGAATGCGGTGGTAGTCTGAACCACTTCCCAGAACACAAACAAGTAGCAGAAATATTATTCGTCAACGGGGCGGGGCTGCATCGTTCAGCAAACTTTACAATCAAATTGAAATATTCAAAAATATATTGTCCAATGAAATTTGTGACATAATATTTAGGGAAACTAATCGGAAAGGGACAAAGATTACTGAAGCATACAATAATAAACTGATGGAAAATTACCCTGATATTAGCAAGCGACTGAAACAAAAAATATTCAAACCACAGAACAAGAATTGGATGCATTTTTTGGTATTCTAATTTTTAGTGTGGTGCATAGATCTATTAAAAAGCATTTGACTGAACTGTGGAAATCCAGTTAACTACCATTATTTTGGGCTGCGATGTCCCATGATAGATTCAAAATGCTTCTACGCTTCATAAGGTTTGATAATGATGTAACGCGCCCTGAACGTTTGTTAGCTGATAAAGCCGCTGCTATACGACATATTTAGACTAGGTTCATTTCAAATTTGAATAAAAACTACAAGCCTCGTGAATGTATTACCGTTGACGAACAGCTATATGGATATCGTGGGCGGACTCGCTTTACTCAATACATGCCATCAAAACCTGAAAAGTATGGCATAAAAATATTTTGGGCTTGTGATGCAAATAATTCCTACCCCCTAAATGGACAAATATATACAGGAAAGTCAAGTGTTGGCATACGTCAAACAAATGTAGGAGAATGCACTGTATTAGGTCTCGTGGCTAAATATAAAAATTCAGGGCTGAATGTAACTACGGATAATTTTTTAAGTCGCTTCAACTGACTCATTCCTTGAATTCGTGGAATATGACACTAGTTGGAATGGTAAGAAAAAATAAACGGTTTCTTCCTGCAAATATGCAAGCACACATGCTGTTTATTCTTCTAATTTCGCATTTAGCAAAAAAGCAACTGTGTGCTCTTACGTACTTAAAAATAATAAAGCAGTAATAGTGCACATGTCACCAATTATTGAAAGTAATAAGGAAATTGCCAAGCCAGAAATAATTTTATATTATAATAAAACTAAAAGTGGAGTGGACAACATGGATAAGCTGTTAGCAGAACATACCGTAAAACGCAGAACAAATCGGTGGCTTTTAGCACTTTTTTACAATAGCATTGACATTGCAGCTTTGGCAGCATATATTATTTACATGGAACATAACCCACAATTGGTCTCGAGTGACAGACGTAGAAAGTTTTTGAAATCATTGAGTCTACAACTGTGTGGTAAAGATATAGAAAAGAGATCAAAAAATTGCATTGTGACATCAAAATTACATGTGAGATCTGCAATGCAGGATGTGCTTGGCCGAGAACTTAGGCCGTCAATTTCTTTTGGATCTGCAACTTCTATAAGTCAAACTAGACGAGATTCTACAGGGTGTGTTGTAGTCGTCGAAAGTTGTTACCTATGCAGAGAACTCAAGCGCAAGCAAAGAAACCTGGAAAAGCTTGCACTAACTGCAGAAAACCAGTTTGTGATGAACATGCAGTAACTCGTCCAACATGTAAGATCTGCTTCGAGAGCTGTAATTAATACTGTATGAACAAAGAATTTGTAATTTTTATAGAAATAAAATACTTAGACAAATGTTTATTATTTAATTTTTGTACGAAATTAAAAACACTTTCCTCATAGTCACACAAAACACAAAGAGGTACCCGGGTACCTCGTTAGTCGATTGTGAGTTCAAAATATGTTTTGGTTTCCACAAAACATTGTAAATAGTAGACTTGGTCAAAACATTAAAAAAATATGTAATTTATAAATAGTTAAGAGCTCTCAGGAAGTCACAGCTACATAAAAGCATACTTTTTTAGAATATGAAAATGCCAAAGGCACCCGGGTACCTCGTCACTCACATAAGGGTTAAGGACTTACGATAGTAAGGTCTACGATACAAAAGCATTAATATAGAAGGTATCTTAGATGCATAGGTATTATAATAGCAGTGTTGTTACTTAAAGTCCCATATATATATATATATATATATATATATATATATATATATTATTTTTATATAGACATACGAAGGTAATGCCTATGAAATAAAGTAAATATTACGTGGATTTATATTACTATTATTATTTTGTATTTTGTTATTTATTATTTATCTCAATTTGTAAAAGCATTATATTGATAGAAATGGGAAAGGAATATTATAGTGGCGTGTAAACTGCTTCACAGTGTCAGAAATGGACGTAAACTTGTTATCTTCTTATTGCCGGCCGTAAGCGGGTTTGTTGTAGCAATGCGACTTGCTCGTGGACATTTCACACCCCTACCGACTGTATCCGGCGTTTTAGCGCATAGCGTTATGATGCGTGAACTACAAGTATCTTACGGATTAGGGAGAGTGTGTTTGGTAGAACTTTTAAGTGCAACAAGCATACTCCATGTTTTAATGCAATAGCTCTATTATATGTGGATTTTTGGTTACTGGTGTCTTAGTAGAATGCTACTATGATACGTTGATGCTATTTTTAATATAACAACTGTACCAATTTTTTTCCAAAGTCAATAAGAATCATTGGGTGTTGTGTGCCATCCGTATGATAGTTACATTATATATGATATAATGTAACTATCATACCGATATATGATATTTATCGCAAGTAGCAGTAAGCATTAAGCTTACTGCTACTTGCGATATTGGGTCTTGTGATGGATCTGCGGGTGCGCTGCGCCTTATTCGACTCATCTTGTGGTTCTGGTGGTTGGAGGTATGCGAGTGCTGATGATACTCATATTGATGCTTGTTGCGTTCTGTATCATTGCGTCTTTGCAATGGTTTTTTGGCAGGACAGCAAATGGGAAAATGTTCGGGGAGACAGCTGTCATTTACAAATGGTTGTCCCTAAAGCTAAAGTACCGGATGTTCTACAGCTGTACCATAATAATTATTCAGGAGGCCATCTGGGAGTTAAACGAACTCTACTGAGGATCCGAGAACGGTTTTACTGGGTCCAATGTCGAAACGATGTCGAGGACTGGTGTCGCAAATGTACAAGTTGTGCGGCTGTAAAGGGACCTCAGACTCGTAGTAGAGGTGCATTGAAGTTGTACAATGTTGGTGCACCATGGGAGAGAATAGCCATTGACGTGGCGGGGCCGTTTCCGGAGAGTGAAAGCGGTAACAAGTATTTCATGGTTGTGATGGATTACTACGCTATTCTCAATGGCGATTTCTGCATTTTGGTTTGACTTACACGTTAGTAGCTTTGCCCATATTGGGTCCCTTCATGATGTAAATAATAACAATAAAGTATTTCTGCAAAGGTCCTACCTTTGAGTGATTGAAGGCAACTTGTTGGTGTGTGAGACAAACATGATCGAAAAACGTATATCCTTAACGTCAGTTACTCAAACCCTTTCTGATGGCGAATTATTGCTATTATTTTATAATTTTCTTTTGGCTGTATCTACCGTTGTATTGGTTGATTAAGCATATGTGTCGACCTCATGTGGGTGGCAGTTAGAGGGAGGAGACTCTCAAGGCTGCGACCGAAAACGACCAGCTCGCCATCGACCCCATTCCAGTGAGGTGAGCGGTAGGCTCATGACACGCTCTGCGGCTAAAAGCTGGTGGTGATGCCTTATATTTACATCACATCTGCAGGAGCGGTGGTGTGGCAGGTGGTGGCGCCCACAGAAAATTGTACATAAAAACATAAATAACTTTCGTAAGAATAAAGATGTTCATACTTTAATCAATAGGAACAAACATAAGCTTGTAATACCACCTACCACACTCCACAGGGCAATAAATACGCTTTTATAACAAAATCCCAGAATATGTACAAAATTTGTCATTAAACAAGTTTAAATATTTTATTAAAGAAAAATTGTACAAAAAAGGGTCATTATAATATGATAAATGAATACATAAATAAAAATAACCCCTGGGAATGAGGTGATCGCCACCATGCAGGTTGTATTAAATTCATTCAAAAACTGTAAAAAAAATTATTGTAAAATTAAATACGTTTAAAAAATCCCTCTGGGTTTCTTGCTGGTTCTTCCCAGAGACCGACAGAGGTTTTTTACGAACCACTGGTGTATTAAAAATGACTTTCAATAAGTATCAATGATCATATTATTTCAAAGTGTGCCTAAGCGTACATTCATTGTGGATAGACTTGATCGTATTCTAAGTACATAATTATTAAATAGAATTGTGACAAGCGAGTACACAGTTCATCTGATGGAATAAGGATGTTATGTCCTATGGTATAGGTTAGTTCGAGTGAATGACTTGCGGTATTTATTAACTTGCTGTGAGTATTCACTAGACACTCAAATAGGATAGGAGGTACTACAGCTATTCTATTGATATTTTCCAATATTCAAAGTGAAGAGGTCGTTACTACCAAAGGTTATTTAAAGGTAGAATTTAAGCAGCGAAAACTAAGTCGTAAGTTTCAATGAAATATTTTTGTTAAATAGGAGGTGAAGGAGTCACCACACAGTTTAAGCGACTACCACAGAATGAGGGTATTGTTTTTCGAGAGCATGTTTATATGTATGTATGTGTATTTCTTTGACACGTTCTGTAAACTAAGCAGCTCGTTTGATTTTAACATGTGCAGTGTCGTTAGTTTCTTCCTAATTATGGGACTTATATAGCTTATATAATACATATTCAGTTTCGTGGATCACTAGCATGTCACTAGGGACCCACGGAATTGAATAAATGTGAGTGACCCGGCGCAATAGACTTTATGTCACATATAAATCTGGCCGTACTTCACAGAACTTTCAAAAAAGCTAGAAATCGCTGCAGTCAGGTAGAGAGGTCTGCTAAACCTCGATATTTTCTTGGTTTCCTGAATAATTATCCGCAATCCAAGATATTAAATTGTATTAACTCTCTTGGCTTTAATAATAATAATAATGTCCTCCAGACTGAATTTCGACAACGGCGGCCTGCGTCAACGGAGGCCAGCCATCGGCGCAGGACAGGATTATAGTGCCCAG